CTTCGTATGACGATAATTTAACATATAGTGCCCTAGCAGAGTTCCTGTAACGATTCTTAAATTGTTTTTACTCAGGTGCACACAACGTCTTGAGCATTTTAGATTACAGCCAATACATATAAGATGTTATACATTATTATGCATTATAGTTATACAATAGATGTAGAACAGCCCTCTCCAATTGTCACCATATAGACTTCTATGTTTCTTGTTGTTTTGCTGTATGATTAAAGTGAACTGGCAGTAGTCCAGGCAACAGCTTTTTTTATCAACTTTCTTTCAAGTTCCCCGAAACTATAGAACCCGAATTTAATCATTTTGTTCAATAGCGATTTATAACACTCTTCTACGAGTTTGTATGTCACTAGATGAGAAGTGAAGTACTATAATTGGTGCCTAACTATCAATTTGAATAGTCAGGCACTAAATTTAAAGAGACTCTTCTGTTTATCGTTTATAACGCATATATTTACAAACTATTTACAATATAGAAGTAACATACATACTTCTTAACATATACTTAGACTATAAAAGTTATATTTAAATTACCTACAAGCGTCTGATTGAGTTACATACAAGTAATATACAAGTTACTTACAAGTAACATACAAGTCACTTAGAAGTTACATAGAAGTTACTTACAAGTTACATACAAGTTACTTACAAGTAACATACAAGTTACTTACAAGTTACATACAAGTTACTTACAAGTTGCATACAAGCTACTTACAACTATCATACAAGTTACTTACAAGTTACATACAAGTCACTTACAAGTTGCATACAAGCTACTTACAACTAACATACAAGTCACTTACAAGTTACATACAAGTTACTTACAAGTTACATACAAGTTACTTACAAGTAACATACAAGTTACTTACAAGTTACATACAAGTTACTTACAAGTAACATATAAATTACTTACAAGTAACATATAAGTTACTTACAAGTAACATACAGGTTACTTATAAGTAACATACAAGTTACATACAAGTTACTTACAAGTAACGTACAAGTTACTTACAAATAACATACAAGTTACTTACAAGTTACTTACAAGTAACATACAATTTACTTACAAGTAATATACAAGTTACTTACAAGTAATATACAAGTTACTTCCAAGTTACAAAAAAGTTACCAACAAATAACGAAAGAAAAATTGAAAGTGAAAATAATTAGTTTCACTAGAGAAGATATCTTTTTAAATGCTAGAATAAAATTTTTTATTGTAAACTATGAAAAGTAGAATAATATTTACATATAGATAAGCCTATGTAGCGAATTTCTCGAGCTTTTATTACTGAATAAAATTCAATCTGTTAAAAATAAATTGTTTAGAAAACATCTATCGGCCGCAAACCAAAATATGAGTAAGTTTTTTGTATTTGAAAACAATTTAAGAAAATCCCCAGTTATAGCAGAAATATCTATTATAAGTGAACTGCTCTTGTATGTACAAATTGTGCAATAAATGTATTATTTTTCACATATTATAGTATAAAAGGTTATCTGTACAATTAAAATCAACCGCAGATATTCCCCTCTAATGATTTTTTTGTGTAATTAATCTCTATTTGTCTAAATGCTATGCTTAGTTAAGACTATAAATAACACAGAAAGCGGAATCACTTTCAGATTCTAACTAAGTTTCCTTAAGTAAAGATAAATCGTTTGTTTGGAAGATGTTGCACGGAAGGTTCACAATTGCTGTTGTTTTACTTGCCAGTCTTCTGGTGGTCAGTGCCCAGAATAGAAGTATGTAGTATCTGAAAAAATATGTGACTTACAGAACTGAATTGTATAAATTCGATTTTTCTTATTTTGTAGATTGCGGACAAAATGAGAAATACACAACCTGCGGTACTGCTTGTCCGGAGACATGTACTAGTCCACCAAATCGTGTTTGTACTCAGCAGTGCATCATAGGATGTGAATGCAGAAGTGGTTTTGTTCGGGGCAGAAATGGGAAATGTATTCCACGTTCGCGTTGTTGAGCAGCAATGCTTACAGTACTTGTGAAAATGTGAATGATATAATTATTATGATAACACTATATTATTTGTTAAAGTAAATCAGTTAAAATATAATATAAACAGTTTATAAAATTTTTTCAAAGTGTTTAGTGGATATTATAAATAATTAATATTGTACTATTGTAATACTGTTGAATAGACTTGTGGAATCAATATCGTTACCACTTTAAGTCTCTCTTATGTAGTGTCTTGATGATATATAGACTACAACTGTTAGATTAACTTAACTTGAGCAGTCAGTGTTATTAGAAATCTTTTTATATATGTTAGTGAGCTTTTTTGTCTTATATTCAATGAAATTGGACACTTTTCCATGTATGTTCATACTTATTTCTTTTAGAAGTAGACTTAAATATTTTTCTTCTCAGATGAAGTTGTTTTTTTTTAAGTAATTAAATATTAGAGGCTGATATTTTAAATTCAGTTAAAAAGCTCAACTGTCAGAACACAGCATTTTGTTATATTTATTTATAAAATCTAATTTGAAATAGTCTTAGGTCTTTATGTATATTAGAATTTCGCATTTGTTACTGAAAGTTTATTAAAAATAAAAGGTAAAATGCTTGAATGCTTTCTGCAATTTTACTTATACAAATACATTTGAATTGTTTACAATATATATAATCTATTGTATTTAGTTATTGATATTTTTGGTATTAGAAAAAAAAGGTTTTTGCATTTTTGGAAAGCAAATGAGACTTGGGCTGAATTTTTTGCCGCCTATTCCAAAACCGCATTTAGCAACCCAAAACAGCAAAAATGCAACGTATCACAGATTAGCTCTGCTCGAAATATCACAATAAAGAACGTCTCTATAACAGAGATTAAAAATACTGTAAAAAATAAAATCAAATTAAAAAAATCACCGGGATATGATGGTATTACCTGAAAAATTCTAACTGAGTTGCCCCAACAAGCACTTGTATACCTAAGAAACGTGTTTTATTGCGCTCTTCATCTTAAGTATCTTCCAAAAGTATGGAAAGCATCAGAAGTAATAACTATACCCAAACCAAATAAAGATATAACTCTTACAAATTCATACAGACCAATTAGTCTATTACCAGTTAAGTCAAAATTGTTTGAAATAATACCTTTGTTCAGACTAGAACCGATTCTCCACAAAGAAAAACTTATTCCTGATCACCAATTCGGCTTTCGGAAAAAATATTCCACTATACAATAAGTTCACAGAGTAGTAAATAAAATTACAAGCGATATTGACACAAAACAATTTTCTTCAGTGGTATATCTAGACGTTGCAAAGGCATTTTCAATTTAAAAATAGTTTTTATCTACTCGTTATATGTGGTTTCTAATTTTACTGGTTCTGTTAGCAATCTTAGCAGCTATTTTCAAATCAACTTATGTTTAAATTTCTTTCTACAAGTATATATACACCACCCACTGATATCTTCAAGGCGCTATCTACTTTTCGTAAATAAATAATTGTGGTCACCAAAACCGACTGTTATCAGTAAACTAATTATTAGAATTATATGAAATTTGGACATGTATCATATTAGTTTGTGAACAGTGTCGACATATATGTTTTTCAGCGGAGACCAATGGAGTGGTATAATCCATTGAGAGAAAATAGTTCACTATCTTTCATGTTTTTTGATATTTTTTGTATTTGACTTTTTTTAATTAGTTTTTAGTAAATGATCAATAAATGTTTACTTATCCATAAATATTTTAGATAAGTTAAGTTATTTACGCTAATCTGGTGCTATTACTAAGACTAAATAATTTTACCCCATATAATGTACATAAAATTTATATTTTTTTGCAGTACCACATTTTTAGTACATCTCGAATTTCAAGAATGCTACTCTTGGCTTGTTTCAATTCTTGAAATATAATCTATTTCATAAAATTTCCATACTGCTTGAAATTTTTTTTTTGTTTGCACTTTTAGCTATTTGTGATGTTTTCTATTACCTCTTCGTGGTTCTCAGTTAGGAATATTTGACTTATTACTAATGAAGATGATGTATTTCTTTTCTCCCAAGTGGAACATAGAGCCAATATACTTAAGTCTACTTTTATTTTAAATATTTCTGGTAATATCATTCCAAGAATAATTAGTGGTACGAAACTCGCTTTCGATTGTTCGTCTTCAGGTCATAGCTAAAGTCCCTGACCGTCTGCCACCTTGGGGATTCTACTAAAGCGCTTGCTTCACGATATTATTGGATGAAGATTATTTACCAAAATTTAAAGACCCACTGTTCTTTTTTGCTTGTGTTATAAGTTGAAAACTTGAGGATGATATTAATTTGTCGTTCCCGAGATTTGAAATAATCTTCAGAACAACAATTATTAATACAAAAAATATAATACATATATTATAGAGAAATTAATGAGAAAATTATAATGTCACCTTACATGAATATATATTATAAAAATGATGACTTCAAACACTTGAATATGAGTCAGTAAATTAATAAATTGACCGATGCGGTGATCATTTCTAAGTCGGAGTTTTTATTTGATAGATATTAGGTTTTATAACAATTTAACTACACTTCACATATATGTAGTATCACTATATTTATATATTTATATATGTATATTTAGATTTAAAGTTTCATTATTTTTTAAAAATATTTTATGGCTGTAATTATTTTAAAAAATTATTGAAAATAGAGTCAGCACTATTTTTACTTATCAAAAGTGTCAATTCGTGGCTTTAAAGTCATAATAAAAGCACATTTTAGAAAAACCAAAGCTTGAAATTAATTCCATTTATATTTGTACTTTAGATATGTGATTTTTCACATCTATACATTTGTGACGCAAAATAAAAAAAAAATATTTTTCAAATTAAATTCGTGCCATTTTTATTATTTGTATTTTCGTGATTAATCTTTATTTGTTTATATGGATACATTGGGTTGGCTATAGAAACTTTAAATAACCGTCATTTTAAGTTCAGTTTCATAGTCATATTGAGTTTCATAAAGTGAAGATCTATCAGTTTTCATTGCATTTCAAAAATGTTTCCGAAGTTCTCAATAGTAGTCGTCCTACTTGCTAGTATCTTGGTTGTCAGTGCACAAAGCGAAAGTACTTCAAACTTAACTAGAAAAGATATAGTAAATTTATTAAAATAATTATTCTATGCTTCAGAATGTGGTGAAAATGAAGAATTTTCTAGATGTGGATCCGTTTGTCCGGAGACGTGCAACAGTGAATCACATCGTGATTGTACAAAGCAGTGTATCGTCGGATGTTTTTGCAAAGATGGGTTTGTAAAGGGAAACGATGAAAAGTGCATACCAAAATCGAGTTGTTAGGTGTCTAAATACCAACTGGTCATCTACATTAGCTGGACTTTTTTGTGCTTGAATGTAATAATTTATATATGTTAAATAAAAATTAAGTATGTGCAAAAATCTTGCCAGAAGTTAAGCCAGTGTATATACAGTTAAAAAAAACATGCATCTGCGGAAATATCTTTTTAATATCTTTTTAAAATATTAACATCCTTTTAAATAGTATACATAAAAAATAATATTATATACAAATATTGGAAATCTTTTAATTTGTATTTAAAAATCACATCACTGGAATTTTATTAATCATATTTACAAAATCTATTATCTATTAACATTTGCCGCCTATATTTTTTTGAACTAAATAAAATAAAAACTACATCAACAAACTATTTTTTATTATTTTAATTTATTAACATTTTATTTATTAACATTTGGTGCATATAATCCAAAAGCGATTGATAATTTGATACATTTTGATATATTTTGATCGAAACTTTTTAATTAACCTAATTACTGTTTCCACTTATTAAAGAAAACAATAACTTAATTTATGGTGGGATGTTTTGTCAAACTGAATCTCTATAAATAGAATTTAGTAGAGATAAAATATCAAATGATAAATTGAGTTTTTAATTATATCAGAATACAATTACTACATACTACATCCGAACAAACGACATGCTAAGAGACCTTAAATTAGACCCGATCAAAAAATACATAAGGAACAGAGCCCTGAAGTTATATGCGAAAATTGACAGGCTATCTTACTTGCCACTATCTAATCTTAGAGTAATCACTCTCCGCACGGGGAGGTACGCTGATCTTAGATCAATCACTGAATAATCATGAAGCTTATAGGCAATACATAAATTAGTCGATGAGATGGGTGGGACCCTGCAGTACCCCCAGCTATCAAAGAGTAAAAGTGCACAGTTGCGCTGACTCGAAAAAAGGATCAACATACTACATTCATATTATTTTTTTAAAATATTATATGTATTATGAATATATGATACTGAAAGATAAAGTCTTACTTAATCCACATATGACCAACGTTTTATTATTACAACTGTAAAATTAACTACTTACTAAATTTTTGTTAATATTATAGTAATATAATATTGCTTTGGGTTTTTGAGTACTTAAACCAAGCATTAATTGATTTCATAGCACAGTCCCAAGATATGTACTAAAATTGCAGTGCACATCCATTTTATTGTGTTCCAAAAGAAGTTTTCGGCAAGTTTCTTCCACTTATTGTTTTCGCTTATGAGAACGGTTTCCAAGATTTCATTTGACGTTAGTTTGAAATGTTCATCTATGATCTATAAAGTTTGTCTTCTACTTCAATTATACAGCACATTGTATGTGGATGCACCCATGTAGTGCAATAGAAATTAAGGCTTGTTTGAAGCATCACATTTGAGTGATTCCAGTGCAATCAAACAGCGTATTATTCACCAGCTTCAAGACATGACGACTGGACTGCGAGCTTTAAAATTAAACACTGCAGCCATGGTTGATATCGGAATCACGGCACTTGCAATTGAATTACTATCATACTATCATTCTTCAAGAGTTCTTCAACAGACGCTGCGTAAATATTGTTGTAATTAATGGATGTTTAGTTTCAATATTTCAATCTAGGGTACTCCTTTATTAAAAAAATTATTGAAAATTACACTATTTATAAAAACAAACTCCTAAACTTACAAAAGCTTAAGGCTTTGTGGAATATTTAAACAACTTTGGATTGGTACAAGTATGTATTTAGAAATTTGATATCCGTGAAAAACTCAAGCCAAAGAAATGAAAACTAAAGTATAAAGTATTCTCAAGTAATTTTTAAGTTTACCTTGTCAATAGTTAATATTTAGATAATAAAATTCTGTAGTTTGAAATAAGAATCATTTCTAAAAGGTATTTCCACACTTGCTTAAAGTAACAAATATATAATCATGTATCTAACCAGAAGTTAAAGCGCTTGTTTAATAAAAATGTGTTTAATCCTTCTATTTGAGGGGCTATAACTTAAGATAATGCGTCTCTTTATCCATGGGAGTTTAGTGCCTCAATTATGTTTATATTTATAGAAACAGTGTATTTTGTAGAATTGACCTTGTCGAAAAAATATTGAACTTGTACTTAACTGAAAATAATTGAGTAAAGTAATCGTTGTAAATTTCTACACATTTATCTTATTTACATTCACTTAAATATTTTTAATTAAATATTGTTTAAATAAAAGCTTACATTTATATATATTATTTAATAAATTCATTTATTCTCTTCTTTTAAAGTTCATTGCATTTAAATAAAAGAAAAATCTTTCGTTTATCCCATTCATCGTGCTTAATATATATTTTTAGTTGACTACATAATATTGATTCTTAATAAAATCATCTGTATTTGTTTTTATACCAGAGAGCGTTGGCCGTTCCATTTTTAAATGGAACTTATTTTGTATAAAAATGAATATTCAAGTTTAATTTTCTAAAGTCAGGTCTCATAAGTTCTCTTTCCTTTTAAGAATGTCATTCGGAAAATATTCTATAGTAATCCTTTTGCTTGCTACCTTTTTGGTAGTTAATGCACAAAATGGTATGTGATACTTCTTGAAAAGAACTGAAGGATACTTAAAGATAAAGTATTGAAGATAATTTTATTATTTATTAACACATATGTTATATTTTAGAAGAATGTGGTCTAAACACATCGTGTGGATCAGCTTGTCCAGAAACTTGCAACAGTAAACCAAATCGTATTTGTACAAAGCAATGTGTCATCGGATGTGTTTGTAAAGACGGCTTTGTAAAGGGAAACAATGGAAAGTGCATACCAAAATCGAGTTGCTAGGTATCATATCAGCTGGATACCAACCGGTCAACTAAATTAGCAGGACTTTTTATGTTCGAATGCAAAAATTTGTATATGTTAGTGAAAAAGTGAAAGTGAAGCCAGTGTAGATGCAAAGAAATAAAAACTTAACAGCATAGAGACATTTATCTATATCTGTTTAAATAAAAAATAATACTAAGTACAAATATTTTATATATTTCAATTTATATTGAACGGTAATATCACTTTGGCATTACTTTAATAATTTTTATCTATTAATATATGCTACTTAAAATCTATGAGAAAATATAATAAAAAATTATTTTTATATATTCCTTTTTATTTTTTTATATATCGTATGAATTTTAGTGATATTGGGATGTTTTATTAAACTTATATATAAAAAATATAAAATGGTAAATGATCACTTGAGATCATAACGATATTAGAATACAATTCGTAGTATCAGGGTACGCAGGTTGAATATTGCTGCCAGTAACGAGGCGTCAACTTTTTGGCAAGGTGTTCACAATTTGATCAAAACACAATTCCAACTATAACGTATTCCCCCTACTTCTGAGTTTTGTCTTTCCACAAGCAAATAGCGTACAAAACCAACAAAACAATTTATTTAAATGTTCGCAACCTGTGATCCATTGGTTTTTATTCACCATACAGCTGTAGCTGCAGGAAAACGGCGACTTACCACAGATTTCGACATTTTTACATCAGGTACCAAATTCTTCATATCTGGAGTTGGTCTATTCATTTTATGAATTAAAACCTTTTTTCAGAGGATTGTTTAAAAAAAGATATTTGAATCAAATCTTTAATCACACATTAATTCATTTCTAAATATTATTTTTCACTTCAAATTTCTTTAATTTTTTTCTTTACTTTTACCATTTGCTAGTTTAAAATTGCAATAATGACTTTGTTTATGGTTTATTTCCAACCTCTACATAAGAGTAAGAAACTCTCATGCGTTCATTTACTTCTTTACTATGAGCGGTTCAATTTCTTTATTAAACCATTTGCCCATATAAAACGGCAACCGTGACTTTGATTGTATTTGCACGCTTTGTATGAACTTCGGGTTCAGTTTAGTCGACTGAACCTCTAGTCAAATGTAAAACGACTTTCGCTCAGTCATTTCTTTTCTCTTTTGTATTTACTTTGCATAACACTTTTTTATTGAACCGCTTGCACGCATGAAGTTAAGAGTTATGATTATTTTACGAACATATTTTGAGCGGCTTGTTTTCTCTTTAATTTTTATATTTGTTTGTATGTTTTGTGTTTATTCAATATTGAACATAGTCCCAATGTGAATGTTATTACATTTGCAAGCTTTGTAAACAGCGCGGTGCAGTTTTTATTCTGAACCTTAGTATATTTTAAGAGGAATGTGTTGGGTGTAATTAACATATGTGTGATTTTGTTTGTATTGAAAGTTTTGTGTTTATGTTAATCTGTTTGGAAAAGCTATTATAAAAAATGTTAAGTAGCAACATAGCGAGATTATTTATCTTATAAAAAAAAATATTTAAAAATGAAGCTTTATTAAGGTGTTCACTGAACACTCTGAACCATTCGACGCCTCGCCTCTGATTGCAGCTAATTTAAATAATATATAAAACCTTATATTGGATTTGAAAATTATATCATGTTTTATATTCATAATATTTATGATAATTATTGTACTGAAATCCTTGTTTTTAATTACTTACTCCATATATGACCAACGTTTTCTTATTACAAATGTAAATTAAAGGTGATATTTTTTTCTACATTATTTATATATCAGCTTATGCCTTTACCCATTGTTTGAAACTTCGAGGCTTTCTTTTCGCATGTACAAGTAAACTCCTCTAGTATATAAGCTTCATAAAATATTGTTTAAATATGCTTTTAATAAAAATATTTAAAATCTAAAATTTTAATTTTTTAACCAAAGGAATATTTCTGCACTCATAAAACGGTTTCGGTTATTGGCATATATCGATCATTAGTGTTTGGAAGCATCTATTAATATAATTGTCCGCATTTTTTACAGGACATAATATTTTAATAAGTTTGTTTTTAAAAACTAAAAAAAATTTGAAATAAAAATGAAATAGTCCAATAAAAAAAACTTTAGAATTGCTCTAGTTGTTTAGTCCTGAAAAATCAGAATAAAGTGTCTGAAAACTAAAAATTTGAAGAGCTCGTTTAGTTGTTACGCGCAAGTTATTTCCTTAAATTAAAAGGATCAAAGTTTAAGACCTGGTACTTGTAGTCTAACAATTACATCGGATTTATATAAACACCACGTAAATTTTCAAAGTCCAATGATGAGGAATATTTGACAAAACTC